CGGGAGAGAGGGGGGGGGGGGGGGGGTGGGGGGGGGGGGGGCAGGGGTGTGACTTGCCTTGCTGTGTCTATGTGTTTGCTGAGACACACACATCTTACTAACACACACAAGTATGGTACCATAGGACCCTGCAAGGGAACAGAGCCATCCTAAAACAGGATATCAGGATCAATGCTCAGGGTTCCAGCACTTTTGACTTCAATATCATTTTGAAGGGTCAGTCCACCCAAAAGTGATACTTAACTGATAATTGGAAACTGGTGGGCTGAGGCAGCCCCGGCTTCTTATATGTCTCATATAGTCCAACTTGGAGATTTCCCTGCAATCTTTTCCGGCTCTGCTGTGCCTGTGCTGGGAGTGTTGGGTGTTCCCACACATATGTACATTTCAGCATCTCCTGTTACATTCTTCATTAATGTAAACCAAGCAGGGAGAGTGGACCACCTCATAGCAACCACAGCAGGGGTCTAGATCCAGGAACCTGAGAACAGAGATCTTACTAACAGAGCCCCAAGGTATATCAGAAACTCTTCAATGCTTTAACTCTCCGTCATCTGCTAAAAATGGAGATATCTCTAGTGGGCTGACTGGCCCTATACAGGATACATTCGTACGACAGATATGCAAGAACCTTCTGCTATTCTGTAGAGTCTAACTAGTATCTTGCTTCACAAGGGGGATGAATTGTTCTGCTTTAGGGCCACATTCACAGTATGCATTGCATTAAAGAGACCTGTCAACAAACCTGCACAGAAAAATTAAGTGTTTCAAATGCAGTGTTTTTCTTATCCAGAAATTTTTTTTTATTGATTTTTTGACTATTCATTTTGAATAGGCTGGTGATGCAAAAGATGTAGAAGAGCTCCACTCTCCTCCAAGTCCCACTATCCAGGCAGGACACAGTTGATGATGTATCTTCAATAGGAGAGGACAGGGAAGCTTTGGCATGGGGGGAGAGCAACACAGTTGGTGATGGAAGACTTTCCTCTGTCCCCTGTAATTGAGTGGTTAGAAGGTAGTTACTGTATATAATGCCCAGCAAGTGTCACTGACTACGGGTCAAGCTCGGCTTAATGTTTGAAAGGTGGAGTATTTTATCTGCACTTAGGTCTACCAGTCTGTCAAGATACGGTGCCCGGGTGTCCCCACACTCCGTGCAGGTATCTATACAGGAGAACCAAATATGTGACCACATCAAATAATGCTTATAAACTGTTATTTATTAGTTATTCCGAAAAACACCACCACCATAAGCACCCCCACCAACACCCGCAAGTAACATATAAAAATACAAGTAACAATTATACCCAGGAGACAACAGGGCAAACCCTGGGCGCAGGACAACAAGGGGGAGCCACTGATCAAGAGACCTCAGGGGTAAG